TGACGCCATTTTTAGATGGGACTACTTTTTTCAATCAGTTTCAAGTCACGCTAACGCAAAGCAGTGGTTATTTTTATAAAATTTACTGCTACACGATGTTGGGATTTGCAGAAAAAAGAAAAATTCATTGCTAATATCAATTTTGAAGTTCAATCACATCATTTTTTCTTATTATTGCTTTTTATGTGAGATGGTACACGTAGCAAGCGAGCTGACAGTTCACCTGATGTTAAGTGATAACCGCCGCCCATGGACTTTTAAAAATTTTCGAAAATATGTGAAGTGAATTCACAGTGTGGCTGCGTGTTTGACTATGCTAAATACCCTCTGTATAGAGGAGGCCCTTGCCCAGCAATTGGACATGTATAGGTTGTTACTTAGTAGAGACTAGTCGTACATCTTCGTCAAGTACAAGGTGTACCTGGTGACCCTGATGGGGTAGTGAATATTAAACCTGTTTCTTTCATCTGAGGGAGAGGGTTTGTGACATCCACTACTGTAAAAACATTGTGTGATAGTTACAGTATTTTTCTACGGACTGTAATATGTAATTTTTTTATAAAATAAAGGTAACTTTTAATTTAGATTTATTATCCAATATCTAATCCAAAAATATCGCGTTCTGTAAAAATATATAAACTAATTCAAATTTTAATTTAATTTCATTTAAAGTCATTTCAATTGTAACCGACTTCAAAAAAGCAGGAGGTTTCTCAATTCGACCGTATATATATATATATATTTTTTTATGTGTGTTCCGGGATAACTTCGTCATTTATGAACCGATTTTGATGATTCTTTTTTGTTGGAAAGGAGATATCCCAAGGGTAGTACCATGATAAGGAAACCCAGATCTGATGATGGCATCCCAGAGAAATCGAGGGCAATTCTCAAATGTTATAGATGTTGACAATGTTTTAAGTTTCCTGTTTGAAGTCGGTTTTTTGTTGTTCAAAATTATTAATATTCATATTAAGCTCATATTTATTTACAATGTCTGATTATGATAATGTACGTGGAATATGGTCGCTATTTGAATGATAATGAATTAATTCCATTAAAGCTGAAGATACATATAACTGTTTTTATTCGTGGATAATAAACAAGTAGGTACCTGGAGGACCGAGCAAAGCTCGGTGTTTTTTGGTAAATTATATATTTTGGAAATAAAAAAATAAAAACAAAGAAAATGATCTGGTATAGCGACCGAGCTATTATAACACTTTTTTTTGTGGCGAAATTTACTGCCATATTCGAATAATATTTTTCATTTCCTGAAAACAGGGATAAAAGAACATTTTCTAAGAATGAGAAAGACGAAAACCTATAAATATCATCAACATCAACGCATTAGAGAGTGCATTAGATAAATGTATAAAGATGCTAATGATAATGAAGTGCGATGATTGACCTTTAATGTCCCACAATTACTGAATGTATTACAAATCACTCAATAATACATTAATAAAATACTTTTCACATAACAAGCAATCGGTTGTACAATGGCTAAAAATTAAATATCAATTAAATATTCATCAAAGAGAAATACGGCAAGCCCCGCGTTGACTCGTATAAATGACAATTGACATTAAATTCGTCTTTTTTTTAATTTTCTATATAAAGCAATTTCCTAAATATTTATTTTCAGAAAATTGAAATGATTTTTTTTCCTTAATATAGGATAAATAAATTGCACTTGCCTTTCAATAAAGATAAACCTGGACTTTTTTAGATATAGCCGTTCTTGGAATGAAGTCTTAACATGGTTTTAACATCTTGATATATTGAATAAAGACTAAATTTTTTAACTATACAGATAAATAAAATTGGAGTGTCTGTTTGTAATATTAAAATAACCGCTTTTTACTTAATGCATATGGATGTATACACGGTACATATACCAAAATAACATTTTTTACAATTTTTGTCTGTCTGTCTGTCTGTTTGTTCCGGCTAATCTCTGAAACGGCTGGACCCATTTGGACGGTACTTTCACTGGCAGATAGCTGATGTAATAAGGCGTAACTTAGGTTACTTTTATTTTAGATTTTTTTTATTTTTAATTCTACACGGACGAAGTCGCGGGCACAGCTAGTACACAATAACTGTTTAAACCTTTAAATAAAGTGGTCCCCAGCTACCTCACTCTTCAGACGAAACGCTACAGTTCAATACTTCCACTTCATGTCGGTCTTTTGTGAGGCCGTGGTACTTCACCGAACACGCCTGCCCATTCGTGCAACACCGGAAGATACTTCGTTTGACGAGTTAGGAGGTCCCACTATTTAAAAGATTCTCAACACATCTAATGCAAGCTCCCAAAATATGTCCATGGGCGGCAGTCATTACGTACTATTAAGTGAATCGTCTGCCCGCTTGCCAATATAATTGTATATACAGCGTGTCGCTACCATCGCGACAATAAATGAACACACGTCTAACGCTACTTGCCAATAATCATAAAAAAATATTAACGTTAAACAAAATCCATAATTAAAAATAAAATTTTTCAAACAAACTAATCAAGTAAAAAAGAAACAAAATTTGTAACATGCTATACAACTCGCGCCACAGCGTCGCATTACAAGCCTCTCCTTCTAACAGTATGTTTTGTCTCTTTTAAATTCATTCAACCCATTCATATGCTTTGTGACCTTTACAAATGAACTTTACGTTACAGTTTTATACGTAAGGCTGTTCTAAAATTGTTTGTTTTGGAAAATTTAATAACTCGGTAAATATTGATGTTTAAAGAATGTAAATGTTTAATACAATTTTAAAAAGTTATTATCTATATGTGTGTTCATTTATTGTCGCGGTGGTAACGACGCGACGACACGCTGTATAAGAGAAAGATTTGGACAGATCACCCCATTAGTTGAAAAAAAATTTGTGAAAAGACGTTTACTTGAAGTATGCTTGTTTGAATTCATAACTTATTGCTGAAAGTGGGTTTTCCCCAAGATGAAGAAAATCAATAACATACAACACTATCTTAACATTAAAGCACCAAGTTACTGAACTGTGAAGTTTTTAACTTTAAACATTTCATGAAATGACTAAACATTACTCATTGTTTATTTTAAACTGTTTAAAACTTTAAACTGTTTATAAATATCAACCGTTTAAAACTGAAAAGTTTGAATCGTTGTAAAGAAAGATAAAAATATTTAGGTACATAACTATAGTTATAAGTTATCGGCAAACCGCGTTTGTGACATGGGCAGGTTAATATCAAAATTCCTTTCATTAAATTAACAAAATAATAATAATTAATTCAATGAAACAATCGAGAATGAAAATGAAGAAATCGATACATTTTGTAAAGGACAATAATGTAACATAAAAGGTAGGCAAGATAAAGATATGCGAGAGATTAAACATATTTAATAAACCTGAAATACTGGACGCTATCTGGGTCAAAATTAAAACGAAATGGGGTAATTCGAATGCAGCCATAGTAGTCGCGCTCTCGTCCGGCCGTTGCCTAGTCCGATAACGATGTACGGAAAGTTGAAGTCAGTAAGTAAAGCAAGGCTATTACAATTGTTCATAAACTGGCAAAAGAGAAAGGCGAAGTTATCCGCGCGTTCCTGTGCCGCCACATTTGCGTGAAATGACGAATTGATCAATTTCTTTCGGTTCCAGCAACAATTTTTGGTCGATCGTCAAGTTCTTTAAAGATTTTACTTTAAATGCTGTCATTTAAAGTACAATATTTAAAGAACTTTTACATCTTTACTATAACATATTATCTACATTTCAAGTACGACAGTTTGGAAATTACTTTTTACTTTTAAAGTTGGATGCAGTTTAATCTTAAGTAGTCGGAGATTTTTCACATTTTCTGGAACTTTTTTACATTGGAAATGTATAAATATTATGTCGTTAAGTAAGAACTCGTGAACATGACAGTCGTTTTAAGAAGATCTCTAATAATACTATAAATGTGAATGTAAGTTTCGTTGGTACGATTTCACGCCAAAACTACCAATGTGTACACAGTCATATTCTTAGAGGTTTTTGTTTATGTGAGTAAGTGGCAAACGAGCTGGCCTAATTTTAAGTGATAACCAAGTGTGATAAGTGATAGCATCTACTTTACGCCCGTCGCCTGTGCGGTCGTGATAGGTACCCGGACGGAACTGCCCATTTGTGCAACAGTGAACACTGTTACATGGCCCTACCACAGTTGATAGCTATATGTGTTAATTATATGAAGTATATAATACATTAAGAATTATGCGAAGATAAGTGTAACAGGGCATTTTTATCATAAACCGCTTAATATGAAATGCAGAAACGACACCGATTAAGCATAATTAGCATGTTCAACTTAAAATACCTTGACTCGACCCTGTGGAAGAATTCTTCGTAGCATCGATATTATTAGAAATTCTTATTAGAAATTCCACAATTATTTGACGTATTAGATGTTCTTAAGGAATTTTTCCTTTGTATTTTATATAGTCGCGTTATTTATTTTCAAAATTATTTGACAAACTGGAATTAATTTTAAATAATTTGTACATCTGTTATTCGCTGACTTGACTGATTCGTCAGTGAATTCGCATTTTACGCAATATTTCAGAGTGGGTCAAGTTTTCGCACGAGCTAAATTTTTATACTAAAATAACAAACATTTTGACTTCTTTGTTAACTGTTTTGAACTACAACACTGCTAATTTCAGTTTTGAAATTAGGAGTGTTAGGGTGTAATTCGATATAATTTAGATGTTCCATATTTAAATGTTTTCAAGTTCTTTGAATGAATCCGAAAAGTCTCTGTTATTCCGTTATTTGTTCGGATCTCCATTTGTATTATCAATAGTGATAAAAGAGCGTACAGTTCAATTAGGTATACGTAACAACAATGGCAGCTAATAAAAAAATCGTCTAATCAAATCATAAGAGTTTCGTGAAAATGGAACGCTATCAAAAACGCATTCATTCGATACAAGCAAAACAATTATATACATCTACATTTATGACACACTCACGGCCATGTGCCGGATCGTCTGCGGCGATGCGATCTCGGCTGTGCCTCGGTGCTGTGCAACAGCGCCTGCGGTATCAGACTCTTCGACGGCTTCCTCCTCGAGAACCTGTACTCGGACCTCTCCACGCTCTTCGCGAGCCTAAGCGTCGAGAGCTCGCTCTCCGACGAGCACCACAACGACTCCATCGACAGCATGGCGCGCGAGCGGTCAGTCCATCACTGCACCGACGTACTGTCAACACAACAACGCGTCCGCGCGGACTGTACACGCCCGAATGCTGGCCGTTTCACAACACACCGACGCTCGCCAAACTCACGCTGTGCGCGCGAAACTATTGCAAAACCGCACTAAAGGCCCGTCGGCAGTTGAAGTCCGAAGGCTGACCACCTGCCGATTGGTGGTTTTACAATTCGAATTGAAATTAAAACAGTTCGCGATGCGCGGCCGGACAGCGGTGCGTATGTACACGGGCCGAGACTCTGGCCGACTGATAGCTGTGCTGAACTGAACGGCGGTCGCATGAGGCGCGACGCGTACTGCCATACGAAATTGCAAACGGCGACTGTCACGACTTTATCAACCGAATTGGGCTGTATCTTGTTTGAGAAACGCTAACCCTAACACGGACCGATCGAGATAACGCCTCGTAATCTCTTTCATTTTCTTTTATTTAGTGTTTACGGATAGGTAACATTCGTCGCCTAAATACTAGGTCACACAATCGGCGCATGTCTGCCTCGTGACCTCGTGACTCGGTATCTTTTGCTTATTGTTATTATGACTGGCTTGCAATTAATGATTTTAACGACGGCGATAATTTGAAGAAACAGTTATATATAAGAACAACAATCGGTATTACGGGTTCGAACATATTCGTCGCTCTAGAACAGTGGTGGCCAACTCCGCGCCCGTTGATCTGTAATTCGCCCGCTGCAAGATTTCTAGATACTATTTTAAAATTTCTTTTTTTTTAAGTTTTCTTAACCATTTAAAAAAATAAAGTAAGTAATAATAATTTCGGTTTTCTTAATTTCATTGTTAAAATAAAAGCATTGCTTGAAAACAAATATGTAAGTAGCTTTTATAGCTGAATATTGTCAGTTAGATCAGTTAATCTTAAATCTCTAAAAAAAGTCAATGCGCACCCACCGTGCTGTAAAAATTTCATTGCGTATTCGTTTTTCAAAAAAACGTTAGCCACCGCTGGCTCTAGAAGCTCAAGAACGTTCCATTTAAATCAACGATAATTTATGAACAATAACAAATAAACATATTTAGATAACGCCCCTCTGAAATGTTTATATATCATTCGAAATACAACGTAATTTTTTCGAACACCGTCCAACTTATAGGTTAATCTCATACCGAAAATTAATTTCAGCCGTATTATAAAACTGGTAAACAGCTGCTCCTATGAAGTCAGCCGTGAAATACATTGAAAACAAAACAAATGAATGCCTTAATGCCTGATATAAATGTGTTCAGAACCTTATAGTACTAATATCATTGTTAATTAGCTTAATATTAAACAATTAAAATAGTTATTAATATTGTGTGTGAATAAAGTTTCCCTCAATTTCTTTTCTAGTATCTAGTTGGCATCTTAATATTGAAAATAATTATATAAATTAACATAATTCTAAAAGCAAAAACATTAAACATTCGTACTATTGGATAGCTTGTTTGGGCTTTTAGCCAATAAGATTTAACTCAAGTGTTGCTTTTTGTGTGTATAATAAACTAGCTGATCAGGCAAACGTTGTTTTGTGGTTTTTCGTAAATCTATCATCAAAAACAATCTATCCATTCTTAGATCTACTAGGCGAAAGAAATATTCCTACAAAATTTCAAGTCTCTACGCCTTATGGTTCCAGAGATATCGGTTGAAATCTCTTATATATATAAAGATGGGAAAGTCAGTTACGTGGTGAAGGCAAATTATTGGCTTCGACACTGAGATCGTGGGTTCGATTCCCACACGGGACTTGTATTCGACCCAAAGTGTTTATTTTGTTTCGGGTTTGTGTGTATGGTCCGAAGGACTGTGAACGGGTTAAGGTCCGTGATTGGGTTCAGATCCGTTGCAAACAAACGAATACACAGAAAAGTTAATTGAAGAAGATCATTTATGACACCCAGAAAAATTGTTCGCGGGCAAATTGCATAATGAAATAATGGCCGTTTTTCCGTAGTATCGATATCATTAGACCGATCAGTAACATATATATCATGATTGCGCTAGAACATCGTAGAACAATTACATTGCAAAATTTGCCTAGTCCGAGTTTTTGAAAAAGATCGCCCGAAAGGCGTACCCAGTATAAGGAAACAAGACTGAGTGGTAAAGACATTCGTTAAAAGCTTTAATCTTGTCTACGGACTCAATATGGTAAAAACTATCTTTATGTTAATAATATCAGTTCAATGACGCGCGTACAAAACCCGTTAACATTCCGTAGAGGACTCGATTAACTTACACCAGGAAGTTAATTTCAATACTCGACAATCTTGCTCGGTGCACTGGTTAAGTCGCTCGAGCCAAACGCCTGGTAATTTCTTATTGCCTTGCTTGTTAAACAATTCAAAAGTTATAAACAGCTTCACATACGAAAAAATAGTATAAAGCAAACACGATAGCACGAAATAATAAAGACTGAACAAAAATATTAAGCAAATAGGCCATAAATATATTTATATTTAATAAATTGCGCAGCGATACAATTTCCGCACAAAGAACTCACATAAACCTTAAGTGAATATAGTCAAAGTCATATAAAAGCAAAAAAACTTGCTCGTTTTAATAATAGTGTTTCACGCGAGATCTCGCTGAAAATAAATTCTTATTCAGCGGTCTGTTGTCCTGAATCGAGGTTTAGTGAAAGTAACAGCATTTATCTCGAACGCCAACAATCTATGATCGTAGATTAAAACCTGAGCAGATGCGTAACTAGGCACAAAAGTAAAATGTATGAACATAATAATTATAATTATAACAGATAAAAAGTTAAGCAACAAAATATTAAAATTTCAGATAAACAAATTTATATTTTAACAACGGTTTTATATTAAATTTCAATTTTAAGTACAAATTTATAGCTTATATTCTTTGTGATCAGGTTGAACTTACTTGAAACATGGAAAAGTTTACTTGATGAATTTCAAAACTTAAATCATGAGATAATGTTTGTTGGGTGATGTTGTACCAGTCTTTCCGCATTTTTAAAAAAACAAGTTTAAAGATAACAGATAAAAACTTAAACTTAGCTTGTAATGGATAACTTAAATTTTGTCAAATTAAAACGAACGTTCCTAATATCGAAAAGAATGCCTTCTTTAGTGTGATATTTAAATCGACATACGCTGAAAAGAATCCGATTCTGCAACCATAATGAAAACAATGCGGTAGTACAGCGCTCAAGGATCAAGGCTTTGGCTTTATCCTTAAATCGTTGATGGCGATATGCTGCTTGAAAAAGGTCTGTTGTGCGTAACCTTCTTTGTGATTGAAATGAATGGCTCCAAAATCGTAACGCAGACTGTGTGGGTCAGAAGTCATTGGCCTATAACTGTGACATTCCCGGGTGCCGGTGGGTGAGTCAACAGCGGGCGTGTGCGGTTAGCTTGGTAGCACGGTTTTGGTACGGTTACGATATTAAATAATGGCTATAGCCAAATAACGTGTATATCGACATAGGCATTGTATTGTTATTCAAAATCATTCTTCCCGCCATAATTCCATCTGCAAATCCGCACCAATTCATGATTTATTTAAAAAGTAATAGTTTCAATTTATTCATTTATTATTGTTATTATGTAAATTATTTGAAGAACATTGCTCTTCATTTTAAAATTTTTTATTCCGTTAAAGGATCAGGATAAACTTAGGGACATAGTCCGTGTTTGTGGTGAGTAATGTAATTTCTATTTCTTTCAATTATATGCATAATTTAAAAGCTTCATAAGAAATCTGGTAATTATATATGTATACCAAACTGCAGATGACGTCCTGTGATCTCATTTGTTTATGCCATAAGCACGATGTAAATATAGAGTGGGTTAAACGACATGCGTATATTGTTCTTCAATTCCGACAAACCAATCGCTGGGACCATGACTATGTTCATGTTCATGCTGTTGTTGATAATAAAATTTATACATAGGATGTGATACACACGATTTCATTCACGATTGTCTGTTTTCAGCTGCTCCTTATTGCTGTGGTAAATTTTTCGGAGCAGTTATCTTAATAAAAAAGTCATTATTCCACAGTCTTATTAGTAACATGAAGGCATCTATATTTTATCTTACATGTTTTATCAATCAATATACAAGCCTCAGTGTCCTTTCAGACTTTCAGGGTAGGGTTCGGGACTCATACCGACTAAAACCCACACGATGTTCCAATATGGGCGTACGCAAAAGGCTTTCGCATACATCCGCGACCTTGAACGCCTCAGCAACTCCTCCTCGGGGAGTAACTACCCTATCTCTTAGGTAAGGAGCACTAGAACATGAACCTTTTATGGGGCATGGGATAGTGGCTCCGCTAAATGATGTCGCCGAATCCCCGACTGTCACATGTCACATGAAATCTTTATCACTATGTTAAAAACCCTATTACTAAGACTCCGCTGTCTCTGTCCGTCTGTCACCAGGTGACAGATTCATGAACCTTGTTAGTTAGACAGTTGATATTTTCACAGATGATGTATTTCTGTTGCTGCTATAACAAAAAATACTAAAAAACATAATAAAAATAATTTAAGTGCGGCTACCATACAACAGACATAATTTTTTTTTGGCGTTTTTATAGGTACTTAGTGGTACGAGTCCGACTCGCACTCACTTGACGGGTTTCTTTCTAAATTCAAAATATTCACTAAGTAGTTAATATTTGTCAAAATTTTTGTATTTTTGTTAATGGGTTGATACATTTTAATTTTTGTACGTATATAATAATTTATGTATGTATAAAGTATTAATGTTATTATTTAGAAATTTAGATTAACTCTAGTTATTGTAGGTACCCGTCTTAAAGTAGGTTGTGACTGGTAGAAAATGCCTGGCAATAAGGGCAACGACTGCCAGGCATTCTATATAAAAATGTGGCAGATAGATAAAGTAATAAAGTTATTGTTTTTAAGAAATGATCAGGGGCGGGAAACTCCTATATAAAGCCGATCGAGTATTTTGTGTAGCGACATCTTTCTTATAGGATCTTGAAACAAATGTTATGTTTTCTTTTTTTTAACTAGAGGTCACTATATACAAGTGATATAGTTGTAATACAATGTTATAAACTAGAAGAAAGGTGAAAAAAAATGTCACCTAATAATTTTAAAATGTCCAAACGTTTGATGTTTTTTAATTGCGATATCGATATAATTTTAGAATATCGGTGCCTTTAATAGTATCGATCCCAAAAATTTAATTCAATCATTATTAACAGTAATAAACTTGTATTTTTTTTAAAACTGCTACTTAAAACTTTTTCTACTTATTAAC